AGAATGTATAATAAGCAATAGACTCTCAAATTACCTAGAAGTCACTTCAAAATTACCTGAAACACAAAATGGTTTCAGAAAATTCAGACAAACAACAGATCATTTGGTTAGACTAACTGAAACAATAATTGATAGCTTCAACAAAAAAGAATGCACTGTCGCCTGCTTTCTCGACGTTGAGAAAGCATTCGACACAATGGCACAATGGTCTCAGGTTCCGCATGACAGAACTGGAACTACCGCGGGTGATTATTCGCTGGCTATCTAACGTCTTGGAAAATAGAACATGTAAAATAAATGTACGGGGAACCTACTCTGAGGCATTTACCCCAGAGGCAGGCGTACCCCAAGGAGGGGTAGTTAGCCCTATTCTATTCATCATGTATGTAAGTAATATGCCACTAAAAGATCCAAATCACGGTTGTGCATCACAATTCGCGGACGATGCAGCGATCTGGAAAAGTGCCCCCACCCCACCCATAGCAACAACTAATCTACAGCCAGTTTTAAAAAATATATATAAGAATACTGCCAGAAATATAGAACAAAAATAAACGCCCCGAAAAACAAACTACTTACCTTCTCTAGAATAACAAAGCACTATAAAGACCCACCCAAACTATATATGAATGGAACACTTCTCCAGACCTCAACATCAGCAAAATTCCTAGGGCTAACATTTGACCTAAAATTGACGTGGGTCAAACATACAAATAATATTTTAACAAAAATCTGGAAACGCACAAATTATGCAAAAAGTCTAACAGGCAAAACCCAGGGAACCACACCTGATAACATTATTAAAATATACAAAACATGTATTCGACCAATAATAGAATATGCCAGCCCGGCATGGATAAACACAGTTCCTAAGCACATAAACAAACTACAAACAATACAAAACACATTAATCACCTCAGCATACAAGGTCCCCCGAAGCACCTCATCAGCATTTATGCACAGATACGCTAATATACAAACAATAGCCGATAGACTCTTGCATAATACTTTAAATTACTTTGAGAAAAATTGGCAAAAGAACGACCTATTTTGTGAACTCGATCGTTATTACATACATGATGGAAGTAGACCTAAGTACCTCTCACCTGTTAACATTTATTTTAGAAAGAAGGATGTGATCTGGCCACCTAACGTTAGACATATAAACCCGACACTAGTTAGAGCCTAAAAATAATATATTTAAAAGGGTATTACATGTAAAATGTATTCGATTAGCCTCTAACTAGTGAAATGTGTAACTTGCATTATGGACTTGTATAAGAAATGCAAAACACAGAATGTAACTGTGATACGTACATGGACATTGCCCTGAAAGGGGTCGGAGCAAGTGCGGTTTACTCCGACCCTCGTGTAGTATCAACATTCGCAGTCGACATAGCACAGTCCGGAAAAGAGGAGGAGGTCCCAGCGCACCTGACCCTCCTAGGTCACAAAGACCTAAATTCCTATCAGGAGAGAGAGAGAGCAGCCGCAGTCAATAAGTTAACGTGTATCCCGTCCTATTACATCCAAAAAGAAACTACAATCCGTATTATAAGAGTAACGATCAAGTCTCACACTTCGATTAGCGTATCCCATGAGTTGTCTGTGGTGATGATAATAAGTTGTCTTCCTTGTAGGCTTTTACTTAAAAAAATAATTATAATAAAATTAATTAATCTGTAAATAGGTCAGCACTAGTTATAATGCACGTGAATCGTTTTTTTGTTGTTGTTGTTCTGTTTAACTGGGCATTAGTTTGTTAGATAAATGGTTCTATGATGTATACACATGTTTATTATGTTCAAATAATTAGTGAAATATTATATTAAATATAACTATTTACATGCAGCAAAGATACAAGTGTTCTTTAAGTTCTTTATTAAGTTGCTATTATGTCATTAAGAAATAAAGCAAGGATATTAAGACTAATTATCACGTTTTTAAATTAATGAAATAATACGTTGTACAGTAAATAAACACATTAGATTTCTGTCATGTCTTTTGTTTTCATGGCCGTGCTTGTAAGGATCGAATGTTCTCTTGTTGTTCGTAGTTATGTTAAACATATTAACATTATATGTGTCTAGATGTCCACTTGGGTACTATAAACATATTAATATTACATGTTCCAAGTTGTACACGTGGTCACTATAAACATATCAATATTACGTGTTCCAAGTTGTCCACGTGGTCACTATAAACATATTAACATTACGTGTTCCAAGTTGTCCACGTGGTCACTATAAACATATTAACATTACGTGTTCCAAATTGTCCACGTGGTCACTATAAACATATCAATATTACGTGTTCCAAGTTGTCCACGTGGTCACTATAAACATATTAACATTACGTGTTCCAACGTGGTCACTATAAACATATCAATATTACGTGCTCCAAGTTGTCCACGTGGTCACTATAAACATATTAACATTATTTGTGCATAATTTTGCTAATGTAAAGTGAAACTGTTTCTACATATTACAAATATAATCTTTTCGAGATAACTAGTTCTTCTTAAGCTAAAACATGAACTGAACATGTCACACCTGACACAGTTTTACTTAGAAGGAAATGTAGCGATATTCAGATAGAAGTAATTAAACAACGAGTACTGTTTGTTTTCTGTGTTGACGTTTTTGTAAAGATTTTTAGTGAAATGATACATATGGTTAATACCGATTTATTTATTTCCATGGTGCTAAGGAGCCTTTCTGATTGCGATATTTATACATTTTTAAGGAGTATTTTTATTGATAATGTACTTTATAGTTTCAAGGAGTATTTTTTAGTGATTGTAATTATTATCTATTGTTATGAAACTTTGTGTTGTGATGGCTTCAGCTACATTATGTCACTATACATGTATGCTTTACTTTAGAAGTATAAGGTATTCCAGATGTACGTGTCTTGAATAACTAAACTTAGACAAACTTTACGTGTTGAGATTGATATAGTGTCATTATTTATGTTTTTACTAGCGCTCGGTCTTATTATATACGACGTTATGAAACTAATAATAATAAATATTCTCCTTAATCGCAATCGCTCCCTTTCCGCCGAAATTCTTCCTGGGGTGTTTGTAAAGGGATATTTTTAAAAATAATACTTGGAGGATCTGAACGCTAAAAACATTTTAAAAGTACCCTAACGAAAAGGTGTCGCGAGTTTTGCGGTGATTTATGTGCCTCTTAGGGTTGTTTAAACCATATTTTGATTTATATTGAGTAACACGCGGATGTTTGACTCTTACGTTTTATTTTAATTAGCAGACTGGAAAAATTATTCTATTGATGACAGTTTATGATAACATATGGAAGAAAAACAAGATGTCCTTGTGGAGTGTTATGGAACGGATCTTCAATATATGTTATACATTAAGTTCGAGGACATTCCGTTCCACTGGATGTTTGTTTGTTTCACTAGAAAAAATTAATTAGTTTGTGTATCACAAATCTGGGTAAGAAAACCACTTTCTTCTACCCCCGTTATTATTATTTTTCTTTCGTTATTAATTTTAAACGCGAATTCAGTAGGATTTGAAATAAAGTCATTATAATTTTTCAACAGAATATACATTACTACAGTATTTTGGCGATGGCCGTTTGCCTAATCCAAGTAAAACTGTGTATGAAAAATTGTATAATTAGATGTATGAGATTCATAGTTCAAGTTTGTCATGAAAATGCTCCCTTTAACTTAGTTATAAAAGAAAACGCTTAGAAACACCAACGCAACAAATGGCACAGTCGTATGTCTGCGGACTAGAATCCGATACCCGTGATTAGGGATGGAGGTTGAGTCTGTACAGTACGTTGTTCATGATAAAATTTAAAATGGAGTATCTCCCACCTGTAGATGTTATCTGTGGATTGCATTTTGCACAACCTTTCGAAGCTTCTCTTCAGTGCATACTAATGTCCTTACAATGTGGTGATAATGTTGCATGTGCAAGTATCACATATTCTATTCCCCCTCCCAGGAGCTCAGCGGTAAGTCTGAAGGCTTATAACGATAAAAACTGGTTCAACATCCATGGTGGGCACAGCATAGATAGCCCATTGACGTAATCTGTATGATATTTGTACTTCTCCGGGTCGACAGTAACCCGGTTGTTTGTATGCCTTACTGTGCGTGAGGTTCCGTGATTCGCGTCCCGCAACTGTAAAAAAAAAAAAAAGGGGGACGTGGGGCGTTATTAGAGTGGTTAAGTCGCACTAATTGATCTGACAAAAGTAGCCCATGAGTTGGCGGTGAGTGTTCTTGACTATCTGTCTTCCCTCTAATCTATCATTTCAACATTAATGAACTTCTAGCACAATTATAGCCCTCGTGTAGCACCGCGCATAATTTAAGAAAAACGGTTTGTACAAGTTGTAGTATACACTTTCAAAATCGAAACTTCAAAACAATTGCCCCTCGGTGGAACAGTAGTAAGTCTACGGACTTACAACGCTAAAATCTGGGGTTAGATTCCTCGCACTGGACATATTATGTCCAGTGTGATTTTCCTCCAAAACAAACAAACACGTGAAATTATTATCAGTCGCGTTAAAACTGTTCAACATGCGCAAACGAATGTATAAAGTTTTGTTATAATAACACCTCTTATTTAACTGGAAAATGTTATCAAAAACTATTTAACGTAAACTTTCATACGTTTAGCAGATAAATCTATTGTTTCACTGTCTTTGGATGAATAGAATGCTGAACTGATGAAGATCAGGTTCAACACCGGGTTAGCACGTGAGCGTCAGTGGAGGTAGATTAAACCAGTGGATATAAATTGAATAAATTTATTTAACGCTCGCATACACAACCTGTCGCATTAAACACCGAAATCTTATTGACAAAAATAAATTAGGAAGGGAACTAACGTAGTTTTGGCTTAAAGTTCTTCGTATAGAGGCGCCCTCTATATTCTAAAAGCGCGTGCGCTAGGTTGAAAATCTAGAGCCAAACTAACAGGTAGAAGTCTGGAGCTGCCATAACAGACTTTCGCTAACAACAGATTTTGTCTCGAATATTAAGATCCTATCACAGTTGCACGCAGCAGGATACGCCCCAACTGGTGGTAGATCATCGACCGTTTGTACTTGTTTAGGGTATTACTAGGGCGAAAATACAAACGTTTATCGATTAGCATTAACAACAAAAAGCGATATGACGTGGTGAAATGAGTACCTATATGATAATGGAGAACATCAGCTTTACCAATGAAACGAACAGTACAGGAGAGCTGCCTCACACCTTGATGTTTAATAAGGACTCCTTAAGAGAGGTGATCCTGTACACGTTTCTCTTCCTGATCGCTGCAGCAGGTAACGTGCCTGTTTTCGTAAGTCTCCTTAGAAACCGGCAGCGTAAGTCCCGGATCAAGCTCATGATCCTCCATCTTACCATAGCGGATTTGATTGTCACCCTGTTCATGATTCCCCTGGAAATCTTCTGGAGGGTCACTGTCGAGTGGATGGCGGGAAACGTCATGTGCAAGATTTCTCTGGTCATTCGGGCTTTCGGACCGTATCTTTCGTCCATGGTACTTGTGTGTATAAGTGTTGACCGCTACTACGCCATCCTCCACCCCTTGAAAGTGACCGACGCCCATCGAAGGGGCAAAATCATGCTGACTTTAGCCTGGTTGGTGAGCTTCGTCTGCAGCCTTCCACAGGTTGTTAGTTTTTCACGTGTAATTTGGTTTTTAATTAATTTTAAAAGCTCGTAAATTCTGATGAACTAGAGAAATATATAATACAACTTGCTGTATCTGTCAATATCCCTGCATATAATCACTTAGTGTTTGTCTGTTTAGTTTTGTGTCGATATAAGCTGAATCATGAAAGACTAATGAAAATGTTATATTCATTTCAGGTAAAATAAAAGGAGATCGTAATGATAAGAACGTGTAATATTCAAGACCAAGCCAGTTTCACAATTTACTATATGTATTATTTGTCTAAGAAACATGTCTCTATATTAGTTTGTTTTACAACTTTCTGATATATATGTGTGACATATTTGCGCTTAGAAAGTCTTTTTTTTTTCGAATCGTTAACAACCAGCTACCGAAATCACGAACGCACAATTCGATGTTCTAAAAGTATATCCTTGAATATGGGGTGTTGTTACGTACTATTTGGAGAGGAGCTGAAAATCATGTCGAACACTTTCAAAGTCTGACTGTTAATAACTATATGTAGGTACATTCAGGCGTGGATTAGTTGCTGAAGCATGATTAGTGTTACAAGGTTTAGGTTATCCCTCAAGTGCTCGCAAAAGTTTTTTGCTTGGGAGAACACTACATCGGTATGAAGCATGTAATGCACCTTTCAAAGCCAAGAAGGACTTGTGAAATCGCCTTGTTCCTTTTCAGTGGGATGATTTCAAACATGTTCTAACGTTAATAAACCTAAATTCAATCATGTGACCTGCACAGTAATTATTCAATAATATTTTAATATTACCCACTATTTATGCGGTTGACATTTTAAAGTACCAGACTTATTTTCATATCGTTCTTTAGCAGGTAAAATATCATATATTGCATCATATTAAATAAATGTTTCATCTGTTACAACAGCTAATGTAAAGAACATAAAATAATTTGTTTTCGCCATTAAAGTGCGTAGGGAACCCTATCGGTAATTGGTGGAAATCACTGAGATATTAATTGTCATTTTGTTCTGACTCGTACGTCATCAGGGACTCTGTAACCAGTAACGTCGTGGACCCACAAGTAATTCAGTGTATAAATAGTTTAGGAAAATTAGTTTGAAAAGCTGTCCATCTGTAATTCACACCTATAGGTTTTCACAACAGCTCACTCACCCCAGTTCGAAAAAAGACAAAAATTACTAAATTAAAATGTAAAATACTTTGTTATGAATTAAATATACATCAAACTATGATACAACTAGAATGAATACAACATAAACTAAATATACGTCAAACTATCGATAGTTTGATGTATATTTAACTTATGTTGTATTCATTCTAGTTGTAGTTTGATGTATATTTAACTTATGTTGTATTCATTCTAGTTGTAGTTTGATGTATATTTAACTTATGTTGTATTCATTCTAGTTGTATGATACAACTAGAATGAATACAACATAAATTAAATATACATCAAACTACAACTAGAATGAATACAACATAAATTAAATATACATCAAACTACAACTAGAATGAATACAACATAAGTTAAATATACATCAAACTACAAATAGAATGAATACAACATAAGTTAAATATACATCAAACTACAACTAGAATGAATACAACATAAGTTAAATATACATCAAACTACAACTAGAATGAATACAACATAAATATACGTCAAACTACAACTAGAATGAATACAACATAAGTTAAATATCCATCAAACTACAACTAGAATAAATAATAATAACTAATTACTTTTTTATTCCTGAATTTGTTGTGTAATTGATAATACCCATTCACCTTGATCCTGATCTTATTAACCCCTGGGTGAACTATTCACCCAGTTGAGAAGCACTGTTCTATAGATAAGTTTCAGTTAGGTGAATTTTGATAAATATGGGATTATAATACAGTGTATAAAATGCACTTATCATAAAATATAAATGTTGTTAATTGATTGATTGTTTACTCAGTTTAAGTAATTGATTGTTTAGATGATCCCTTTATTAGTTTACAGGTAAAGTATACCTGGTAGTGGGCCACGTTTAACCTTGGAAAAATAATTATCTCAAGGTTTTCTATAAAAGGAAATTAATACTCAGTTTTTAGCTTCAGCTCACTGACAAGTTGTGAAAATTAAGAAAAATCTCAACATGAAATAACTCCTCATTTTCATTATAGTTTGACGATGAAGCCTAGATAAAGCGCTCGGCAAATTCCGACGTAAAAAACGACTTGTGATCACAAAGGAAGATAACATTCGTCAAAATGCGTATCTTTACATTTCAGCGACATGAAATTCACTTCCGTTAAGAATAGAGTCGACTTTCCGTCACAGCCCGCTGGTTACGTGTAACAGAAAGAGAATAGTGCTCCAACTATTAGCGATTTTATCTTGCTTCACAATGCCAAGGTTGTTTCCAGATAAGCATCTTACTAAATTCATATTTTCTGTAAGTTTATATTACTTATAAGATACTGGAAGAGATTATTTTTTGTTCACGTGATAATTTGAATCGCAGCAATCGGGTATCAAGATCTCCAACAAACAAAAGATACAGAAAATAGTTTGCAAATAATAAGCTCTGGGCTTTATAGTACTGTCTGTATATTTGTCAGCAAGATTTCTCGAAAATGGCTGCATGGATTTGGACGAAAGTTGATATACATTTGGAATATGACCCACTTTAGTAGTGGTTAGTTTTTGGAGAGTCGAGGTCACGAAAATCTAAAAAATCCCTATATATTAACATGGGTACAGATTTTTCAAACTATTTTTGCTCTATAACTCAGTCAAAAATGATCGGATTTTGATGAAACTTGGTGGACTTATGTTTATAACGATGGACATACGGACACATTTTCTTAGTTTTTGAGAGCCGAATATTGATCAACGCTCCGTGGAGGAGTTCTGCGCTCTACCAAGTACCCTCTAGTTTATATTGTGCCTCAATCCTTAAGCTTGTTTGTTTACTTTTTTTTTTGCGACTGAATTTCCACATTAAGCTAGCTATCTTGTTTCTGTATTTTTATACGGTTTCTATTCACCTTTTTAAATTAAGTTTTTAATCAGTCTTGTTTCTTTAGTTTTTCTTATTTCCATCATGGACATAAATCTGCATAATACCAATACTGTCTTATATGAAACAGTTTAGTTTAATGAAATACGTAGCTGATGTATGGTGCTCTCTGGGAAAACAATGACAACCTTTGGATTGGTTTCATGCAGATTGGATGACTACTGCTTATGATACCATTGCTACAATGTTATTATTGATAGTGGAACTGAATGTATGATCACTATGATGTACATAGATCAACATACATATATATAGTCTGGATTGGAAGTACTACTGAACTATACTGGATTGATGCATAGACTGGATTTTGTAACCACGTGACCGTTATACATGCGTGCACATGTGATACGTGTTGGCTGGTATTTATATCTGTATATACATGCAGGCTTTGTAGCTTTTTAAGTTGTAAAACCGTATATATAGATATCCATATGAATGTTTAAAGTTGTATTGATGCATGCATGCATATTTAATGCAAGTGTAAGAAAATATGTCATAATATAATAGGGTATGTATGCAAATAAGCATTTTAAATATTTTTATGGTTGTTAGATTTCCCCCTTTTCTCCTCCCCTCCGCTGGCCTTGGTAAGGCCGGTTACGGTTTTACTGCAGCTGGCCATATTTCCTCTTAGAATGACATTCTACAGACTCTGAAAGTCGAAAACGTGTTAATTAACAATTATGAGTTGATTATATTAATATACCTCCCCACCTTCATTTCTGATGGAGCTGTGACACTTCTATGACCTTCTTCCATTGGGATGACCCTAAACTCTGGTGGGCCGTCACTGTTGCATACTTTAACTGAAACTAATTATTTTCTAAATAAAATATACAAATTTCTGCCTCACTTTTGCCTAGAATCGCCATCATTTTCTCCATCTCCTGCTTACACAATTTTTGCACTCCTTACAGTTAGCTTCAACGATGGCTACTCTATCTCCAGTATCTATAAAATTTGCAGTATGCCCCTGAAGAAAGGTCTACCTTTCAAAAGCGCACGGATTATAGGATTTTTATTCATTTCTATCAAGACTTCTTGAACCTACATGTTTTTCTAACATCATGAATATGAAATTCGCAATCAGGCAATGTGGGCTATAATTCGACACTTAGGATCGGCAATCACGGTGATTGCCGATCCGATATGGGAGACTAGCTGATACGGTTCGTGATTATTTACTGTAACTATTGACTATTTGATCGCATTAGTTGGAGATGTAAATATTTAAGCTGCAGCTGGATATTGTTATGTAGATTTGTTTGAAGATATAGTGAGCATTTATAGTTTCTGTTTAACTAAAATCTATATTTGTAATGAATAGCAATGGTTTATTTGTTTGTTTGTTATAGATTTCGCGCAAAGCTACACGAGGGCTATCTGTACTAGCCGTCCCTAATTTAGCAGTGTAAGACTAGAGGGAAGGCAGCTTATCATCACCACCCACCACCAACTCTTTTACCAACGAATAGTGGGATTGACCGTCACATTATAACGCCCCCAGGCTGAAAAGGGCGAGCATGTTTGGTGGGACGAAGATTCGACTCCGCGACCACAGATTGCGAGTCGAGCACCCTAACCACCTGGCCATGCCGGGGCCGAATATCAATGGGCATATAAATGCCGAGACTAAGAAACAACTTCCACTATACACGTATAAACTTGTACAAGTAGAAAAGCAGCCTTTTCAAATAAAACATATACGTTTAAAACATCACATTGCTTTAAATACACCTTCATGTTTTTTTTTTAATAATTATTCTATGAATTTGTGTAATAAAATTTAATATTATGTATGTTGATTTTTTTTACTCTTTCACTTCATACATAATATAGGGGTTGGCTCCCTAAAGATATTGATTGTATAGTGTACGAAGCATTGAGTATCTACATGTTACAGTCATCTAATGTTCATCTATTATTG